GTTTTTCCTAATTTGTCTATTAATTGCATATCTGTTGGCCACCCCGTCCTGAGGCTGTTTCTATTTCTTCCTGTTAAAAGCAATTTTTACCTTACCAGTGTTGCCAAGTGCTTGCTAATAGGGGGTCACCCAGGGGCAGATCTAGAGAAATTTTGTGAGGGTGGCAAAATCAAAGCCTTTTTTTCCAAACACATATGCAGGTGGTTACAAATGGTTAAAATGAATCAAATGCAGTAAGTATACACATTTTTCATATAAATAGTCTATAACTTAATTGTTTTCTGTAGCCCACATAATTAAACACTTCAGTTACAGAAAACGTGATGTTATGTACTGTATAGCCTGTATAATAAGTAAATATAGGCCAGTAAGTATAAAATCCAGAAAGCTACACAACATGGGGCAGCTCATTTACAAACAAAATTCTAACTTAAGTTTCACACTGTTTTTTTTGTTAGAAAAAAATTAAAATTGTTACATGCTTAAATTACACAAAATGTCAGAAATCTGCACTTGCATGAACACAAATTTAAACCTAATTTTTCATGATTTGTTGGATTAACCCTCTGAGGTCCAAAATATAACGAGCCATTTTTGACTCCTTTTGATTTTACATTTGTATTTCACCTTCAAATTGTTTCTTTTTATTTTTCCCCCTTGCCTTGCTTGGTATCGGCCCGGCTATACGCTTAAATCAACCTTTTAGAAGTTGAGAAAGAAAATAATAGATTACCCACAAACTGAATATGGACAAGATTTACTACAGCAGCTAAAAAAATCCACTGGAAAGGCGGAAAGGTTTCGCATCTTGTTCGCTCTTTCCCTGCAGCCTCACACAGCACTCGGCAGAGAATCCCCACTCATCCTCGTCCCAGCTAAACATCCAATCACTGTTAATTCAATTCAATTCAATTTTTTCAAGTCAATTTTATTTATATAGCACCAAATCACAACAGTCGCCTCAAGGCGCTTTAGATTTAAGGTAGAATACAATAATAGATAAAGAGAAAAACCCAACAATCATATGACCCCCTATGAGCAAGCACTTTGGCGACAGTGGGAAGGAAAAACTCCCTTTTAACAGGAAGAAACCTCCG